GACGGCCCTCAAACAGGCCGCCTGCCCACGTACTCCTGCAGTCGTCGCGCAACTCGATCGTTACCCCCCCCGCGGCTCGCTTTCATCCCAATTTGAATCGACAAACTCAGCCCTTCACGCAGTCATACCTGATCCCCAGCAACTCCGCGCGGTGCCCCCTCCTTCTTCCACCAGCAGAACGAACAGAACTCGAACGAACCTTCCACAAAATGTGGGAAGATACATTGTCCATCCCAAATTAGCTCTTCCCGAGCGCGGCCCATGTTTGCTACAACACCGAATTTACATCCCTTCCACGAGGACCGAGACCATCATTGAGATCGCAGTGCCCAGAATCCCCTATCGAGAGTCCTTACTCATCACGAACGGTCAGGGACAGCCCGGTGGCCAACTTTTATCTCCTTCGTTTCTTCTTCCGTCGTCGTCTCCGACCACCACGCAATCTTTTTCTGTACCAGCACTAAATATACTATCCCACTACCAAGTATAACCCCTCCATTGGATTCGCAACCATCGAGAACCCCCAAAACGCATTTTTCCCCGCCCAAAACAGCCAAGAACTGAGCGAGCTCCCTACTCCCTGCTACGCCCAGCCTGACTCTCTGCAATCTCCAGTCTCCTACGCCTGCATGCACCCGGCTCTACCCCACGCCCCCGTTCATTCGCCAACCCACTTCGTCCTTCCACAGTGCTGCGCTCGCCGGTGTGCCAAGATATACCGCGTCAACAAGACGAGGCGCTTCGAAAAAGGAAGTCAACAGCCGTGGGGCACTGACCGCACACCAACTTATAGTTSCCACCACGCTCGCGGCCCGCCGATCTTTCCTGCCTCACTCCAATTCGGCGGATGCCCTGACGGACCCTCACGTGACATCAGCCTGGGGAGAAATCTCCGCGCCCCCCCCCCTTTTTTTTTGCCTTTTTCTTACCCGTGCCTGGCCACCCCTTGCGGCCGGATCCATAGTGGGTGCATCCTCCCCCTTTGCTAACACCCCAGGTAACCGCCGGGCGCATCCGGCCGTAGGGTATCCCAGTCCGGCCTCCGCCCCTTCCCTGTCGCTGCGTCCCGGTCCACTCCGAACCTTTACGCATTCCC